CTGTTTAGGCCTTCCCCTCAATCTCTTCCATGCCTCTTCTCCACACATCTCAACTCGTCAGACAGATGCATCACCCGGTCTTCTACGCACATGACCAAACCACCGTAGGCGCGACTCCCGCATCTTGTCTTCAATAGATGCTACTCCCACCCTTTGTCTGATTGTCTCATTCCTCACGTGGTCCTTCCTAGTATGCACACACATCCAACGCAGCATGCACATCTCCGCGATCGACACTCATCTTTTGAATGTGACATTGTTTCACCGCCCAACAGTCTACGCCATACAGTAATGCAGACATAATTGCTGTCCTATAAAAGTTATCCTTCAGTCTAGTCGGCATACCTCTATCGCATAGAAATCCTGACGCACTCTTCCACTTCATCCACCCTGTTCTGATTCTATGGGATACATCTTCATCTAACTCATCGTCCTTCTGAATTATGGAGCTTAAGTAACGGAACATATCGCAATATTAATATTAGTAGCATTACTAATATTAGTATAGGATATTAATAGTAATACTATCATTAGCAGAAATAATACTAATATTAGTATAGGATATTAAAACAGTAATATATACTAACATTAGTAATATGTGATATTATTAATCACATGGAGTAACTCTTTCAAAAAAACAATATACGGGCAAAATTTGAAGTGATATGTATACCGAGTATTAATTTAATATCTATTGGGAAATTATGTTAGTTCATTTCTAAATTTCAGATACAAATAAATGTCATGAAAAATTTAACGCTGAGATGCTTGTTATTGTTTGCGTTGGTAACCCATACATTCTTACTAGCCAGAAGAAAACAATGATATTGACACAAACTTTGCACGGATCATAACACATTTTTGGACGGCACCGTGCAAAATAGCTGGTGACAAAACAGTATTGGCACGAATTTGACATACCCGTGCCAAATTCGTGCTAAAGGTGTGCCAAATGCCATATAAATTTTGGCTAATATGTGCCAAAATCATTGTTTTTTTGTAGTGTCTAACAAAACTTGTTAACATTAGTTACACTATTATCCAATAATTATATATCCAACATACACTATAAAAAAGTCATTAAAGATGTTTGAAGGTATCATTATTTACCATTTATTTATAAACTATCTAATAATTATTTACCATTTCTAATTTACTCATCGGGATAAGTTACAATGTATTGGAGGTATCATATAATTTGCTTTATAAAAAACGAAGATGTTTGAAGTATCTGTTTTCTTACAATATTTTTGTTCCTAATATTGACAGTGTAATTATTAAGAATACTTTTTTAAGTAAAAATATGATATAACCCTCACACATACGTAAATGGGAATGAAAGTGTACAGATTCTGAGATTCATGTCTTCTTATGTACGAAGTAATATATAATATGTTTGTGTAATTGTGTCTGTTGATTGAAAATAGTATGATTACTATATTTTTATTCTTTATCATCCAAATAATTTTTAACTCCATGATTTATGCCTATGTATATATATTATTTGTAGTCCTTATAGCGCATACGGTGATGTGGATGATGAAACATATTATGGAATAACTATTTTCTGGATTGAATGAACCTACTTAAGAACTTCAAAGCCCAACAAACTTCAAGGTTGGACACATTTTATTATTCATAAATAGAATCATCATCATAACTAGCATACATGTACTATAATATATATAATTCAATATCATCTTTAAATTTTTTTACAATACATCCTCATGCATATACACATTACTCATCAAATGAATTATTTTAAAAATAATTTAATTCATTTGTAATTATATTCGAATCACAATTAACTAGTACATTATAACAACGTACAATAATAGTAATAACACGATCACATAAACTTATTGCAGTATGTCATATCACACAAAACAAGATAAATTACTCTAGATTGAAATTAAAGTTATTAGAAGATCATATTTTGAAGGTGTAAATGATTATAGTGAAAATGGTTAGGAAAAAAGATACAATTAAATATTTCATAGAGCTTTGTAAATCACAAAAAAAATTTGTTTTCCTTTTTCTAAAAATATGACTAACCTTTTGGTTAATAATTAATTCAATTTTTTCTCATTGTAATTTATATCCAATCTCTACCCCCCTTGAGCGCGCATGTCCAACCGCCACTGGGAACCAGTGGTGTATCCAAGAATTTTCTTCAGCGGGGGCAAACTCACCTTGATTGTTTCACGCATCTCATAAACAATGATCACATTAAGAAACAATAGTATAAAATCAATTATAAATAAAAAAAGTATTTTTGGGACAAAAATATTATGATAACATAATTCAAAATTTCACGGTAGATCAAATTTAACTTTGCTAAAAATGAATTTGAATCACAAAGTTTATAATTTATTCAAAACTATATTATGTTAACAATAAAAGTCAAATAAGGAATGGATCACATATGTATTTAGAATTAATTTAATTAAGTTATGAATTCACAAGTATATTAAAAATCAGTACTCCATATATATTACATGTAACAATAATGTACTCCCTCCGTCTTATAAAGAGCTTCTCACACGATTTTATGATATTTGACTGACCATAAGTTTATTGATCCTTCTTCGTAATTAGATTTTCTTAGTAAAAATTCATAAACTATATTAAAGATTTTATAAAGTCGCAAAAAAATCAGATTTTATAAAATTTGGATATATAAATTAAGAGATTAAGAAAACTTTACGTTGACCAGAGAATAGTGGAAATGAACTTGCATGAGACGAAGGTACAAGGTAGTAATTATTAAACTTTACAATCACAAATTTTGTGTGAATAATTAAACTGTAATTATATTGAATTAGTTTATACAAGCTAAATTTTAATACAAGTATGTAAAGCTACTTTTAAATTACTTTAGAGCTTAAAAATGACAAAACTAAAATAAAATAAGGAGCATAAAAGAAGCAAACTTAAGATTCGAATCGTGAACCTCACCAAGCAAACTCTTACTCTGATTAGACCAACATCCAATCTGCTACATTGGCTTTCACTTCCGTTTTTTCTTTTTATTGTATAAGGATAAAAAACATAAGAAAGAAAAAGAAGATAAAGGAAAAAAGAAGTTACTTTGGCCTATTTACTAACAGAGATATTTTCCAGTTTTCTATTTCTGTTTTCCGTTCTCTAATTTTTTGTTTTCATTTTTCAGTTTTTGGATCTATCTCCATTTTTTTTTGTTTTCATTATTTAGTTTTTCATTTTGAAATCCTAAAACGTGTTATTGCGCACGGTACAACCGACTGTACGCAATATTTTACCCCCAATCTATGGACTCTAATTTTTTAAAAATTTATTAATAATATATAGTACTATTATATACAACCTCGATCCCAATTTGATGATCTAGTTTGTGATTCACTTGGTCAACACAAAATCACTCTTAGAGGTCGTTTGGTAACATTGTTTTTCGGCTTATCGGGTTTATCAGTCAGCTTTTTCACCAAACACGAAACTTTTGTTTTCGTGCGCTGAATTGTGTAATAATAAGAAAAAGTAAGGTTTGAGTTACTTTTCTGGCTGTATTAACTGAAGTTACTTTAGATGATCACTTAGGCATGGAGCCGGTCCGGGCCGGGCCCACGCCTGGCCTAGGCCCGGTCGGGCCTTTTGTGATTAGGGGAAGGCCCGGGACCGGCCCGGGTTGCCACCGGGTCCGGTTCGGGCTAGGCCGGGCCTCAGACTGGGTTGTAATTTTTTTTCTTTCCTAACTACCCCCTGAACCCCCCGACCCCCCACCCCTAAAACCCCTCAACCCCCCCCCCCCCCCCAAAAAAAACATCAAGCCCAACCCGGGGAAGCCCAAAAAAACTGGAAAAAAAAACACTTTGGGCCCGAACCGGCCCCGGCCGGGCCGGGTCCCCATTTATGCAGCCTGAGCCCGCCCTCGCTTAAGCCCTCAAACCGGGTCTAGGACCGGTTTCGGACCCGAAGCACCGGGCCGGGCCGGGTGGCCCGAACCGAGTCCAAGACTATGATCACTTTAGCTATTTTTACATATAATTTTTTCTTCATTCAATTAATAAAACATGTTTTAAAAATATTTTTTTCTTAAATCAGTAAAATCAACCAATGCTGCCACTTCAGCCTCAATTTCATAAATTTCAGCAGAATCAGCCGAATCAGCTGATTTCCGTGTTACCAAACGGGCTCTTAATCTCTTACTTTATATGATAGTATATCTAACTTTTATCAAATTTAATTTTTCTTTTCGTGAATTTGTAAATGTTTTGATGTAATTTCTAAATATGTATGTTTTTTCTAAAGTAATTTGAGTATGGACAGCAATTCGTTTGTTTTATCGTCGGTCAAACCTCCCTAAACCGCTATCAGACCATCAAATTTGGACGAAGGGAGTATTATAGAAGAAAAATGTAGATACATCATTTGTTTCATTGTTCTTTTACTCAAATTGCTTATTTTTTTTAATGTAAGACACAAATTGCTTAAAATAATGAGTTGCGCTGTTTCAAATCAAGTACTATGTAAGTATGTAGAATAATTTTTAGAATTTTTTTAATTCCATTATATAATGAGTGTTCATTTGATTTGAGTATAAATGCTTAGTTTTAAAAAATCATTAGTTTTTTTATATTATTGTGATGTATCGATTTTATATGTGGATCTAATTTAGAAGTTGAAGCTGGGTCGGAGGAATTGATAAGTTGAAGTTGTATACAGACAACTCTGTCTGCGTGAACAGACAAGTGTGTTAAATATATACATAAAAACTTGTACAGAAAAACCATGTACACCAAACATTTTTCAAATTTTCAATTATTATTATTATTATTATTATTATTATTACTGAAAAGAAAAATTATTACTCCGTATTATTATTACAGTAATACTCCGTATTACATTTGATGTTGTATGAGAGACAAAAAGGATGGTTTTTACTGTCTGATTTTTGGCGCACGACAGACCAAAAGACGTATAAAGCGCAGCGTATTTCAAACTCTTTCTTCTTCCTCCTCGTGTTTTTGCCAACTCATTTCCAGTTCCGTTACTTCTTCAATTTGTATGCAGAGAGTAAGCCGCGTCATCCTCACTCACTCTATAAGTATCACGCCACCCCCACATATACTTATGATTTCTTTTCTTCCTCCACCGCCCCCTGAGTCGATAAGCATATATCACGCAGCAGATAGATTACAGTCAGATCATCGTACGTTACCGATCAACTTCCCTCCAGTGAAACTTACCTACATTTTGGTCGATTCAAGGTTTCTGTCTATGAATTCTTCTTCTTCTTGGTCCTCCTCAGTCGTTAACCTGTATAACTTCATGATAATTCCTTGTTTTGTCGGTCGAATTTGTTTGGGTTTGTGATGCTTTATGCTTTCTTTGGTTTGAGAGATCACCCCACCATTCCCACTCTGTCAATTACTTGCTTTGGTTTTGTGATTTGAGCAATCCACTTAGATAGATCACTTGCGGATGCTGCATTTTACGTTTTTTATGTAGCAAAGATTGAATCTTTTCTGGGTAGATGGCTATACATCATGAATGAGTTTGTGCTTTTATTCATTTATTTCTAAAAAGATTCATTCTTTGTTTTCGGTATACAGCAAAAGTGATCACTTCTCTTATGGACAGATGTCTAAATTTCATGAATGAGTATTTTTCATAAATTTAATTTTTCTTTGTGTTTTCATATAGCAAAATCATACGGGGTTTAGATAATTCTGAATGACTGAATGTGGGTTCATGGCCAGCTTAATACGGGATTTGGTTTTTCAAGAACCATATAAGGGACGATGTTTTTTACAATCAAGTCCATAGTTCATCTGGAAAGATAAAGCGTATGAATGTGGAATATGCAACTCTCAGCATTATATATGTACTGCTGCAGAGTTGCTAATAGGGTGTGGTCAGAATAGGTTATTTGTTTCATATAGTAACTAAATACTTTTTTACTACTTCCTAATAGAATGTCTATTTTAATTAGTTCATATTATAGTATAATAGTATGAACTTTTATACCATTTGAGCAATCCACTTAGATAGATCACTCGCGAATGCTGCATTTTATCTCATTAGTTTAAGTGTGAGGCTGGAAACGTACAGAGATGGATAGAGAGCGATTTCAACCGAGGTTGCCTCCTCTCTGTCATGTTTCTCAGCCAATGATCCTCTCAACTTATCATCATCATGGGTAAAAAGATTTTTTCTTTCTTCTGGGTATATAACAAAAGTCAAATCTCTTCTGGGAATATGTCTAAATTTCATGAATGAGTATTTCTATATAAATTTAATTTTTCTTTGTGTTTTCATATAGAAAAATAATACGGGGTTTAGATAATTCTGAATGTGGGTGCCTGGTCTTAAAATGTCAGATTTGTCTTTCAAAGAACCATATAAGGGATGATTTTTTATAATCAAGTCCAACGTTCATCTGGAAAGATGCAAAGTATGAAGTGGAATATGCAACTCTCTTTGAGCATTATATATGTACTGCTGCAGAGCTGCTCTATGGTGTGGTCAGAATAGGTTACTTGTTGCATATAGTAACTAAATGCTTGTACTACTTCCTAATAGAATGTCTGTTTTAATTAGCTCATACTATAGCATAATACTCTGTAGTACTAACTTTTATACCATTTGTGCAATCCACTTAGATAGATCACTCGCGGATGCTGCATTTTGCGCCTTCTATGTTTGGTATATATCAAAGAAACTTTTCTGGGTAGATGGTTATACTTCATGACTGAGTTTGTGTTCTTATTCATTTATCTGTCAAAAGATTTTTTCTTTATGCTGGGTATATAGCAAAAGTCAAATCTCTTCTGGGCAGATGTCTACATTTCAAGAATGAGTATTTTTTATAAATTTAAATTTTCTTTGTGTTTACATATAGCTAAATCATACAGGGTTTAGATAATCCTGAATGTGGGTGCATGCTCTTAAAATGACAGATTTGGTTTTCCAAGAACCATACAAGGGACGATTTTTTTATAATCAATTCCATCATTCATCTGGAAAGATACAACGTATGAATGTGAAATATGCAACTCTCTTATGAGCACTATATATGTACTGCTGCAGAGCTGCTAACAGGGTGTGGTCAGATTAGGTTATTTGCTTCATATAGTAACTAAATACTGTTACTATTTCCTAATAGAATGTCTGTTCTAATTAGTTCATACTATAGTATAATATTATGAACTTTATACTATTTTAGCAACCCACTTAGATAGATCACTCGCGGATGCTGCAATTTATCTCATTAGTTTAAGTGTGAGGCTGGAAACGTGCAGAGATGGATAGAGAGCGATTTCGACCGGGGTTGCCTCCTCTCTGTCATGTTCTCAGCCAATGATCCTCTCAACTCATCATCATCATTGGTAAAAAGATTTTTTCTTTCTTCTGGGTATATAACAAAAGTCAAACCTCTTCTGGGAATATGTCTAAATTTAATGAATGAGTACTTCTATATAAATTTAATTTTTGTTTGTGTTTTCATATAGAAAAATCATACGGAGTTTAGATAATTCTGAATGTGGGTGCATGGTCTTAAAATGTCAGATTTGTCTTTCAAAGAACCATATAAGGGATGATTTTTTATAATCAAGTTCATCGTTTATCTGGAAAGATGCAAAGTATGAATGTGGAATGCAACTCTCTTTGAGAATTATATATTCATTGCTGCAGAGCTGCTCTATGGTGTGGTCAGAATAGGTTACTTGTTGCATATAGTAACTAAATGCTTGCACTACTTCCTAATAGAATGTCTGTTTTAATTAGCTCATACTATAGCATAATACTCCGTAGTACTAACTTTTATACCATTTGAGCAATCCACTTAGATAGATCCCCCGCGGATGCTGCATTTTGCGCCTTCATGTTTGGTATATAGCAAAGAAACTTTTCTGGGTAGATGGTTATACTTCATGACTGAGTTTGTGTTCTTATTCATTTATCTGTCAAAAGATTTTTTCTTTCTGCTGGGTATATAGCAAAAGTCAAATCTCTTCTGGGCAGATGTCTACATTTCAAGAATGAGTATTTTTTATAAATATAATTTTTCTTTGTGTTTTCATAAAGCTAAATCATACGGGGTTTAGATAATTCTGAATGTGGGTGCATGGTCTTAAAATGCAGATTTGGTTTTCCAAGAATCATACAAGGGAAGATTTTTTATAATCAATTCAATCATTCATCTGGAAAGATATAACATATGAATGTGAAATATGCAACTCTCTTATTAGCAGTATATATGTACTGCTGCAGAGCTGCTAATAGGGTGTGGTCAGATTAGGTTATTTGCTTCATATAGTAACTAAATACTTTTACTATTTCCTAATAGAATGTCTGTTCTAAATAGTTCATACTATAGTATAATAGTATGAACTTTATACTATTTTAGCAACCCACTTAGATAGATCACTCGCGAATGCTGCAATTTGTCTCATTAGTTTAAGTGTGAGGCTGGAAACGTGCAGAGATGAATACAGAGCAATTTCAACCGGGGTTGCCTCCTCTCTGTCATGTTCTCAGCCAATGATCCTCTCAACTCATCATCATCATCATTACCATTGGTAAAGAGATTTTTTATTTGTACTGGGTATATAACAAAAGTTAAATCTCATCTGGGAATATGTCTAAATTTCATGAATGAGTATTTCTTTATAAATTTAATTTTTCTTCATGTTTTCATATAGCAAAATCATACGGGGTTTAGATAATTCTGAATGTGGGTGCATGGTCTTAAAATGTGAGATTTGTCTTTCAAAGAACCATATAAGGGATGATTTTTTATAATCAAGTCCAACGTTCATCTGGAAAGATGCAAAGTATGAATGTGGAATTTGCAACTCTCTTTGAGCATTATATATGTACTGCTGCAATGCTGCTCTATGGTGTGGTCAAAATAGGTTATTTGTTTCATATATTAACTAAATACTTTTTTACTACTTCCTAATAGAATGTTTGTTCTAAGTAGTTCATAACTTCATTCTAAAGTATAACAGTATGAACTTTTATACTATAGTACACTCTCTAAATCATTTCACTTTTACTACTTCCTAACTTGGAATTTTGTATTCTGTATCTAAATCATTTTACCTTACTCTTGACTTGAAGCTTGAATTTTCTTGATTAGGGTAAATAAAAGAGATTCCCAAAAATGAATGATCAAGAATCAGATTCTGGATTCCTCAGTCTTTTTCATGTAGACAAGTTCTTCTATTATTCCTATGGAGAGAGTGGTCAGCCTGGAGCGGGAAATGGTCAACAACAGTATGCTGATGATGACACAGTTTACACCAATGCTAATGAGGAAATTGCTCATGCGTTTCAAAACCAGCTCTCAATTACAGGAGAATCTGGAGCTTACTTTACTGAAGGGTGTTATCATGGCCAGCAATTCCCCAGTGATGATGGTGTCCAGTCATGGCAGGTTACTGATGACTATCCAGAATCTTCCATTTTGGTTCAGCCAGGGCATGCTCCATCAAAGGATCATTTTTCTGGTACTGTTAAGTATTCAATCTTTTTATCCATATGCTCCTTACATATATTAGCATTACATATGCCATGATCGATGAACTTTAAATATTCTCAGGAAATAATAACGAAGATCCTGAAAAGTCTATTCGCTTTGGACCATCTTCCTCTAGCCACCCTGCTGAAGACAGACGTTCAGGTGGTGAAGAACCCAACCAGGTGTTGGGAATAAAATATGAATCAGAGTTTGATGCTGATATCGCCAGGCGGCTCAATGAAGTTGATGCTGTTCCAGTGAGTATACATTTTGTTGCAATTATTTTTATGCCAAACTGGAATCGAAACTTATATTGTGCTCCTTTTATGCAGCTCATTCCTAGAATAAATACACATATACCCTCGGACGATGAAACCACATCTCATAAAGAAAGGCTTCTAAATAGGTAATTGCTAGTTTTTGGAAAGGTTTTCAATAAAGAGACATTAATGATGTTTCTTAGTCAAACTTCATTTTGAAGTTTGAACTGGTTTTTCCTTATTATGTTTAGGTGTAATGACTCTTAAAGCATGAATGCAGAAACAGTGACAGCGTAATTTATGTGCATGTTGAGCAGTTTAGTGCATGTTTAGTGCAAGTACTGTGTGAGCTAATAACCTAAAAACAACCTAGAGATACTAAAAATACCCAATTAGCAGTAATTGGACTGAAACGTTCTTTGCTTTTGAAAGTTATCAAAGTAAAAATTATGCAAACTTCCTGAAAACTTTTCATTTGAAAAACGTTCTTTTTACTTTTTCATGATATATGCATAATTCTTCCTTTGAACATCCTGAAACCTATTCGTTTTTCATTAAGGTTGTTAGTGACTTTATAACATTTGGACAAAGTTCTGTTTACTTACTTTATCTTCTACACTTTCACTATTTCTGTTTTTAGATTGCAACGTTGTGGCCTGGTTGAGAACATAGTCGAAGGGGATGGGAACTGTCAGGTTATCTCCTTCATTGTTCCATTTAGTTGCAGATTTCTTTCCCTTACTGACTTTTAAGTATAACCTATTTTATTTTGGTTTTATCTTCCAGTTCCGTGCTCTATCAGATCAGTTTTATCGGATGCCCGAACATCACAGTTTTGTGAGACAACAAGTTGTTAATCAGGTGATTCTCAGTAGATCTTATTTTTTCGGATACTTAATATCGATTTTCTTGAGCACCTATTCATTGTGATCTTTTATAATTTTCAATTCCATCAGCTTATGAATCACCCAGAGATGTATGATGCATATGTACCAATGGCTTATGGTGATTATCTGAAGAGGATGATGGAGTACTACTCAGTTCTTCTCCCTTGATTTATTTTTCCCGTTTCTTTAGTTTCATACTGTTTTTATTTTAACTAAATAAGGTATGCATTTATTAATTACTATTAACAAATTCAGGGATGGTGAGTGGGGTGATCATGTAACATTGCAGGCTGCTGCTGACTTGGTATAAATCTAGTTCTTCTTTACAAACAAGTTTATATTACATATAATAATATTTGGTAATAACATATGTTGGTGTCACTTTTTACTTGTTGGACAGTATGGAGTGAAGATTGTTGTCATAACATCACACAAGGAGACCTGTTTCATCGAGATCCTTCCAAGGACACAAAAGTCTAATAGAGGTAATTTCCTTTTGATTCTTCTAAATGTGGTACATTTCTAAGTTTCTATATCAGATGATACAATCGAAGAGAAATTTATTATGGAAATTGCATTTATTACATGGAGAGGAATGTTTCTATTTTAACTAACTGGAAAGATCAATAGAACAAATGAAAATAATATCAGATTGTGCATTGCAAGATAGGATTTTGTGCGTAGCTTGACTTCTGCCTTTCTAGTAAGAGAACCAATTTCGAGTAGAGAAGTGATTTGTTTCATCATCTCTGCTTCTATTGATCATATCTTCAAAGAGGAAAATGTGAGTGTGGCCTTAATAGACAAAGCTCTTATTAACATTTTCCCAAAATATCATACTCCGTAAGAGTTTTGTATTAGTAAGACACTAATACTTCAATGATGAACGCAGTGTCACTTTTTATGTTGTGGTGTATACAGTAATGTCTTTTGAAAACTCTGTGCATACTGTGTGCACAGTGTATGTGGATCGTGTGTATATTTTGTGCAATAGATTAAAAGATTTCTTTTCCCAATTTGAGCATCAGTGTAATTTTTCTTATGGTAATGTGACACTTTGACCTTTTATCTCTCCATGCAGTCATATATTTGAGTTTTTGGGCGGAGGTGCACTATAATTCTATATATCCTCATGAAGGAGGTATCGACCACTTGGATCAAGGGATTAATACTTCTGAGGAAGTCAACTCTAGCTACTCTCCTGCAGGTGAGTGTACATAGAAACATTTTTATTAGTTTCCAGTATGTCAAATTTTATACTTCTGAGGAAGTAGTATTTTAAATTTTGTTAGAATGTACTCACTGATTGATTCATTAGTTCCTTCTGTAATCACTAGAAATGATTATTTCAGTTGCAAGTTCTCATGTGGGAGACTTGAAGGTGAAGAAAAAGAAGTGGTGGAATTTCTTAAAAAAGAAATAGAGGTAAATAGAGATATTATAGAAGGGAGACAGCTTTTGTTTAATGACTTCATTTTTATTTTTCTCTCTCTCTTGATTGGTCTACCACACATAGTAGCATTCTGATATTTTTGGTTCATACTCTTATCCAATGCGAATGTCCTACACTCCTACTATCTTAAGGGTGTAAATTTTGCATTACTGGGCCCTTTTTGGTGCCTAATATTGCACTTTTTTATATTTTATTTTTATTCTTAGTGAACAACTATACTAGAATTTAAAGAGTGAATTATTTGTTTCCTATGGCAGTTGTTTACACTGTGCTGCTATATATGTAGGTTGATGTTGCAGATTTCAACTGAAGCTTCTTGGCCCATGTCAGAGATCTTGCTGGTGCAAATCCAATCATATTAGTTGTGACTAAGGTAAAATAAACAAGAATTAAAGGTTCTATTCTACAAATGCTACTGGAGTACTGCTATTGCAACTGCTTTTGCTTCAAGCACGAGTATCTCTTTGTACTTGTTTAAATATAATTAAGTCAGATCTTTGTTTGATAAAGGTGGATCTTCTTCCAAAAGAAACAGACCTTAATTGTATTGGTGATTGGGTTGTTGAGGCAACAACGAAAAAGAAGCTGAAGTAAGCACTAGATATGTCACACACACCTTTATTCTTTGAAGTTTATGATACAAGCAATACAGTTATTTTGGAAGTAGGCCAGTCACTACTACTACTTTGACTTCTATTACAACGACTACTACTACTACGACCACAACCGCAGCCACGACCACTACCACTACTACTATCTTTTCTATTTACTTTTGATAGTTTATCAGGCATGCTAGCTTGAGGATCTACAATTTTCACAGAACAAGCATTTAATGTAGAAGTAATACCTCTTTGTCGATTCCTAAATGTACTTCTACTAGAAAAAAAGAAAGAACACTATGATATTACTTACTGAGTTATTGCACATATTTTGTGGTGCTTTAGTGTAATAAATTGTTTACTTGTAGGACATTATATTTACATGCAACTTAAATGGTTCCTTGTGCAGTGTTCTGAGTGTTTATTTAACAAGTTCAAAGTCTTTGGTTGGCATATGTGGAGGGGTGTCAGAAATCCAAAAACAGAAGAAGGTAAACTTAATGCTATTTTGATTCTCTCATAATATCATGGATTGTTTGAATCCTTGAAGTAGATGTAATATCAAGCATATTTCCTCAAGTCATCCAGGGTAGCTTTGAATATGTGAAGAAAATATAATGTATCCTCCTAACATCCGACCTGACCTGAAGTGCTTATTACTGTCAAAATAATAGACATTTAACAACTTTACAGATAAAAGGTCCTGACTACCAGAACAAGTTTCCTCCTAACATTTGGCCTGACCTGAAGTGCTTATTACTGACAAAATTATAAACATTTAACCACAACTTTACCTATAAAAGGTCCTGACTACCAGAAAAAGTTTTCGGTGAGATTCTGATACACATGTGGTGTATATGGCATAGTGATGGGACACAAATGGCGCCACTACATGCTCGTTAGCAGGGTGTTTTGTTGGAAGCATGATTCCAACAACAAGTCAGGAAGACAGGAACAAAGAAGTATCGTGAGCGGCATTCTCGCCGTTATTACTATAGTGGGAAAGCTTGAGGATACTTCAGAGACACAGCACATGATCGTTTTGTTGAAGAATCTGATATTTTTAAAGTAACTCTAAAATGTTGGACTAATCTTTTAGAATTGATGTTTTCTGTGTTCCCACCCACAGTACAAGTGCACCTGCGCCCGTGCGTTGTTGCCTAGTTGTTGTAGTCCTCGTCGTGTTTCCCCAATTTACAAAATGGACTAATTCCATTAACTTTAAAGTCATGGCTACAGTATTCTGTTCTTAATGTAGTAGTCCACATTGTTTTGGTTATAGATAGCTGGTTGTTGGTTGGCATTTCCAATGATGTTTTTGGGATATGGACATGTTGTATATTTGGAGCACCTCCAAGAGGGGTGTCTACTTTTCACATTCCCTTGCACGTAGGTCCCATTTTTTATCTCACAATTTTTATGTGTTGGACCTACATGTCTCCATATTCATTTTCTTAAATCACTTTTCATCCATGGATCCTGTGTAAAGTCCATGTGTGGACACTGTCCTTTTAGCCGACCTTGAATTCTTTTTGGGATTAAGACTTGGATGTTGTTGTATCTTTTTCATTTTTCCGTACACATCTCTCTCTCTATATTAAATTAAAATAATCATCCTATCTATCTATCTTCTATGACACGTAGGATGGACCTCTCTACCATCTACTTTCCCATTGGTATAAGGCTCATATTACTATTAGCTTCTTTCATTTTTTTTACTACCATCTTTTGCTTTCTATATTCCTAAAATTTCAATGAATTGTATTTTTTATATGCACGGCAGAGACGTTTATGTCCTGGTTAGAATGTGTTTTGAGTGGCAAAAGTTGATGGACATCCATTGAGATGATTATATGTTCAAGCTTTTGTCTCTTAACTCTTCTTTCATTTGATTTGGTATTCCACTGGGGGTAGGCAGGTTGAATCTTGAGTTTATTGATTTTGCCAGGGTTCAGCTAATGTTGGAAAATCTGCATTTATCAATGCTCAGTTAAGTAAGTTATTAAGCATCTTAACCTGTTCCGTTTGCTTTTTCTTTATTTGGTATATATTCATGTTTTTTCAAGTATTGAATATTGAACATGAACCAGAGATGATGTCATACAAGGACCCAGTGGCTGCTGCTGCAAGGAAATACAGACCAATTCAATCTGCTGTTCCTGGAGCGACTTTGGGTCCAATACAGATTGATGCTTTCTTAGGTGCAGGTGTAAGTATTATTTCAATAGGCCAACTTTTGTAACAAATGTTTTCAATAAAACCGTAAATGGAAACAGTGTAGTGATTGAAGAATCTGATGTTCTGGTGAACTTTTTTGGGCCAGAGTTATTGTCCAACAATTGCCTAACAAATTCCCTGTTGCAATGGAATAGACTTTTCTTTTACCTGTTTTCTGCAAGTTGTGCATAATTTGGCTGTCCAAATCGTATTTTTTCCTTTTAGATAATGTACAATACTCCTGGAGTCCATCTCCATCAAAGACAAGCTGCAGTGGTTCATTCAGAGGATCTGCCTGCTCTTGCTCCTCAAAGTCGGCTTCGTGCCTAAGATATTTTATTCTGACCATATTAAAGAATAAAAAAGCACCATGTTTTTCCTTTTCCCTTTTTGCTTAATTCTTTTGTTATTGTGACTAGGACTCTCAGTTGGCTTTACACAAACTGATCGCTGATCAAGTTGGATCCAGCGGTTTGACTGGATTCTCTATGTTCTGGGGAGGTCTTGTGCGAAAAGATGTTTTGAAGGTTTTGTGTCTAAAGATTAGTAAAATATAATTTTAAAATCAAAATAGTTTTTATTTTATTCCAATTCTGTTTTTATGCAATCTTATTGCAGAGAGTGTTTTTGTGCTTGCTAACTGCCTAACTGCTCATTTTTTTCAGGCAGTGTTTTTTCTTCTAATGACTTTCTTTGGTTGTACATTTTCATCCCCCAGGCTCTTCCTGAGACACGGTTAATGTTTTATGGACCCGCGTGTGATGTAGCCATATGCCCATATCTGGTCTGGGATGGATTTCTGTTGAACCTGTTGGCATTACGCTCAAATCATCTAATAGTTGGATTGTAGATGAGACTGTTGGGGAGTTAATTTTGGTTGTTCATGTTCCTAAGCCAGTTGAGATATTTGTTCGGCCACCAATGCCGGTAGGGAAAGCAGGAGCAGAATGGTACAGTATAGGGAGCTAACAGAGACTGAAGCTGAAGTCAGGCCTAAATGGTTCTTCTGACCAAGATCACATTTGCTACCCGGGCCGGTCCCGGGCCCACCTATTCAGAACTGGCGGCCCGCCCGTTCCTAGGCCCGGCCCGGCCCGAATCCAGCCCTGGGTAGCAACCGCCTTGAGTTTTTCTGATATTAGACAACCCAAAATGATAATATAAAAAAGTGGAGTTCTTACAAAAGTACGGCCGTGTAGGAGCAGTGCAAGGGTAGACAATTTTGTCTATCTTCTTATACAAAAGTGTTTTGTGATTATTTTGAGTTTCCATGTAGAGATTTGAGTTTTTTGCAATTGCTATGCATAGTTGTTTCCATGGATTTTTAGGATTATTTTACTTGTATGCCCAAACTTAATACGACATAGGTGTTAAAGTTTGCAAACTCATATAACTCTTCTGTCATAACAAATTTTAAAATGCATTCACACTTCTGTCTCAATACATTAATCTTTCGGCATCTGAAATTGACAAAAGATTTTTTATTTTGTAACTACTAATGCTAAATATAATTTTATAGATAAATATGGTAATGAAATAAAGGATAATACTTAAAAGTATTAAGGATGTATACATACTAATATGAATATGATGTATACATAAACTGATAAAAGGCTACCTAAAATTTTGAAGCTCTCTAAAATGCCTACCAAATTTATAGTTAGACATGCATATGATTTTGTAATTGGCTTCACATTCTGATTGATATCACCTGCGTCATTTACCCAAGTCATTGAATAGTAGTCTTCCTTTGTGTATTAAGTACTTGTGTATTATAATGTTTTGCTACAAAATGCAAATGGATGTTACTGTTAATCATTCAATGTTTTTTTAGATGATAAAAATCACTTAAGTTCTGATGGGGGTAGTAGTTGCAATGAAAAACAAAACAAAGTTGATTATGGTGATGTTGAAAATGTTATTCAAGGAAAACGTGAAACACAGGTTTGACACGTGCTGACATATTAGAGGTTTAGAATTTGGCTTCTTTGCTGATGGGGTACACCCTCATTGAGGGCAAATTGCCCGACTTATTTTAATTTGTAGAAAGTTTGAGTAGCCATTTTCCAGCTTGTCAACTATTTATTTTTACCAAACACTTCTGAATTATTTAATAATGAATTAAAGCAGCGCTAATCGTACTTTTTTGCAGAAGTAATTATATTTTCCTTTTATGAACAAACAATATTTTACTACATAATAGTTTTCCTTTTTATTCAAGTAAATTAGCAATTTCAGTTTGATAATGAACCGGAGAAGCTGGCTTAACCTTATTTACATAATTACATGATGAATCGACTGTTGTGGTAGGTCTATTCAGGCAAAATTTTTAACTGATGACAATCCAAGATACACAATGGAGTGTGCTGATGTGGGGATAAAGGTTCTTCTCTTTGATTATGAAAATTCTTATCCATGGTGCAAGACTGATGTAATTGAAGGGCATCCTTTGGTTACAAAAGTTCATAATTGGGAAGAACTGGAGCAACAATTGGAAGCGTGGATTTTTCCTGAAATCAATGCAAAGTAGGTTAGGTCTGTTTTTAGTGTGAAAGAAAACCAATGAAGTTCAATAGGCTGTTGTTTGATAAAGTTTTTTTCATGTCTGTTTCATTGATTATTCCATCATTATGCCTTTATTGCAATTTTCAATTGGTCAGTTTACAACCCAAACAATAAGTGTTAAGACCCGGGGTTCCATCTTAAAAGGTCAACCTCATAGGAGGAGAGCCTTATGTAGTGTTTTATTGTTTTATAGCTTTCCGGTGTGGGACAAATACTTTAACAGTAAGCTATCGGCTTCTAACGATTATGGTTTGAGTAGGAAACTAAGCAGCAACGTACACACCAAGACATTGAGATCTGTAGGTGAAGAGTGTTAATCATTTTAAGAGCCTCATATACTGTCCAGTGGGGGATAAACAATTCATTTTAAGGCCATCAGTCTTGATTTCAGGGCACTAATATGATTGAAGAAGCTGTAAGGTGTAAACTTTGGTTTATGCTCAATTCTCAACATTTTTGTTAACTTCACTTTATATTTGGAGCAAGCCCTTGAACCCTATACAAATAAGCAAATAACATTTCTTGCATGTTTATATCATGTCATGATTAACCAAAACTTGCTTTGGAGAGTATTTTATTTTATTTCACAGCTTACCTTTGACATTAATAAATGGTTCAATTTTAGGGGATCTCATCAACAACCCATTCTCATATTGGTCATATTATATATACGTGTATAGAACACAAAGTTCATTACTGTAAATGTTGTTTATGCTTTACACTCTGGAAGATTGAACATTTTTTCCATTACCTTTATTGTAGTCATATTATACTGCAGTTCAGATTGAGTGAGAAGACATTCCTGGAGAACATGACAGTAATGTAGAAGGAAGTGGAGATGATGAAAAAAATGAACAACATTTACATTGCGGTGATGGTCACACATCAAAAGAGGGTGAAGAAGATTTGAATTATGATAGTGATGGAAAACTAAAGGAGGTTCACAGACCAAAGAACCAGCTGTCACAGTTTCAAAGAGAAAAAGTGAAAGTGAACCTCCAAACACTCAACCTCATGCAGCAGGGTGCATCGAATCAGCCTCTAATGGGCCATTTAGGCCCTAGTATTCTTGAGTAATAGTTGTAATGGCTGGGAAATATGTAAGGCCTAACATGTGATGCCAATTGCAGTTGAACATTTAGTATGATTTTGTAGCCTGATTTTTAATGTTTTAAACTCATGTTGTTGTGCGATTTAGTCAGTGTCATGCTTTGTTGTGATGTTGTTAAGTGGTTTGTAAAACATTTTGTTCTCTGTAATGTGATTCCCATTGTTGTCTTGTTAAAACTGTGTAGCCCAGTGTTACATTCTGGATTTTTCATTAAATTGTGAATCGGGAAGTGCAGCTGCTGGATTATTCATTAAATCCTGTTAAATTATGTTATTCTGGATTTTTTTAATTAAATCTTGTTAAATCATGTTGGGATTTTGATTCAATTGTTGTTGTACTTTTTCAAAATTTGGAAGTCCAGCTCCATTCATATTGAGCCCAAAAAATAGTGAAGCTCCAAGACCACGAACTCCCAATGCTCCACCAACATTTGGACCAGTATCCCTAGGTTTCTTTTGGTTAGCATTTGGAAATTCAGGATAAATTGCACCAGTATGGGGACCCAAGCATGACTGATTTTACCAATTTATGCTTGAGGACAGGCTGCTAGTAATTTAGACTAACCAGGTGAATGATCACTCGCAGCAACAAAGTATTGATGTTAAAAAAAGCACTACAAAATGATCGCTGGACTTTGAAGCATCTCTTCATAATCACTTATATAAATCATCCTCAGATTCAGCATATAAATTAGTCAAAACACTTTCAGCATATGAATCAGCATATCCTCATTATATATTGCAGCATATTAATCATCACATTTCAACATATAAATCACTACAAAACCAATATAGAATACTGTCATTTGTCTTTCTGACTTGAAACTCATTATTCCCAAGGATACAAAAAACTATTGTGTAGAAGTTGTAGCTGACAAAAATCTACTGTTTAAAAGACTTTTAGCTTACAAATGTTAGCCACCATATACACTTCGTAGCTTAAATAAACAACTACTCCATACAATTGGTAGCTAACAAAAAGCTCTATGCATTATATCATGTTGCAACTCTTCATCATTTTCATTGTCAAGGATTCTGGTTCATTAGAAAACAAAAGCCAATGGTACTTCAATATATAATGCAGCTTCTAGTAGCCACATGTTGTGATCATGGGCAAGACCTTCATACTGACAAGATATTGTTTATGTCTTCTGGTTCCTAACATGTAAAGATGGCAGGAACAAAAGCACAACTATTGTGAGAATATATTAATAAGCTTTTACAAAGTCAAAGCATAATTTTGTTTCTAAAATAACAGTTTAGAAAAGCCACAGGACGGAAAATCCTTAGGAACCTGATACTTCCACTTCTTTAGCACCACAAATCGTCTCCATTTTGGCCTTTCGATATTGAGGGGCACCAAATTCAATATTTTTCTTCACACACCAGAGACGACACTAGATTCCAGAGGGAACATCATCTAATGGAGGCCAAAAACAAAAGAGGTGGTAAAATTTCCTACAGTAGGTGGGTAGAAATCATATGCAATAGTAAGGAAATTGAAGAAAAGTCTCAAGTCGCAGTCAACATTTAATTGAGTGTTTCGAGAATCTAAATGGACTATGGGAGCCAATATAACACCAATGCTAAGGAACGAGATGAACTATGACATTATCATAATTATAGCCAGTCACATCAAGTACCATTGACACTAATTAAAACTATATGCTACTATGTATTATTTAACCCCTATTAAACAGTTTTACTATGAACACATAAGAGATCACACACAAGCATTTCTCATCTCGCTTGCACGCATCAAAAACAATTTTTAGATCATCCATCTTAGAATCAATGTTTGCACCATTGGATTTCCCACTAGGATTATCTTCAGCACCCACTTTATCTTAACAGTAGGAGCATTCACATGGACCATTACAGATGCTATAAACTAAGTTGAAAGTGATGCCAAAAGGAGGTCATTGTATGATTCCTTTTAATATGGATAGGAATAGAATGTTTTCGGTTAACAATTCAAAAGTTTATTATATCCTAGAATGAAATTCTGAAATATATTAAAATAAAGACCGGTGAAAGCTAGCTAAAGGAAGGGAAATCAACCGAGACCCCGTGAGTAGCGGCGAGCGAGAGCGGAGCCTAGCAAGTATACCCCACCCACAAATTGAAAAACATGAGCAGTTATAGAGATGTACTACAAAATCATATTAATCTTTCAAAAACTGGACTTGGAACTTCTGTCAAGGTAAAAAAAAAACTCATGCACCAAAGTTGTTTAACCGGGTAGCGATTTAATATGTTGGTCCTTTTTAGTGAGTTTATGATGAACTAGCAAATCATATATGGTCATATATATGGATATATAAACATGCTCTTTTTTTTAGATTGAACCCTCTCTCTATACAAAGATGTTGCTTCTGTACACCTTTTTCCCATGTTCTTGTATTGCAGACATCAAATTGAAGAACATAACATCCTTGTAAAAAGTTTTATTATAAACATCCTTTCTTTCAAATAGCACCACAAGTGCAAAGGTCCACACTTGATGAACGAGTGAATCATGACAAAGAGTGCAGCTTAACAGAAACTATAAGAAATGATGAGTCATCATAAGTCTGGCAACAAGTTCAAATAATTCTAAAATTCAAAGAAAGATAAGCAAGTATATAAATGAATTAAAATCCATAGCTTCATAAAAGAAAATTGGAAAAGTTTTTAGAAAAATGTCTTCACTTTTGATTGCCCTATTATGTTTCTCCTCATTTTGTAAGTTCATGTCTAATCCAGACAGTTTTTATTCTCTTATTAGATATGGTTGGAGGGATTGTTCAACATTCGCTACATTAATTGATTGTGAGTAAAAACAAGCGTAAAATTTTACCTTTTTTGTTTCATACATGCACCACAGGAAGCAACTTTTTCCATAGCTACAAATGTTGACTGAGCGGTAACAAAAGCTAATCGACACATAGCATTGTTGAACCATACTTAAACAGTGTTTGAGGTTGCTTAAAAAAAGCGCTTTTCAGCTTTTGACTTAAAAAAAGCTAAAAAGAGTGTTTTCAAATGACAGCTTCTGCTTAAATTAATCACTTAAAAGCTAAAAGCTGGAAGCAGGTGGAAGGGTGCTTTAAACTGCTTTTCACTTTTTCTATTACACAAAAAGTACTTATTTTACCAAACATTACCAACTTTTACTTTTTCAGAATCACTTTTTTCTCAAACACTAACAACTTTTACTATTAATCACTTTTCCCCAAAATCACTTTAAAAAATCACTTTTTTAAAGTTGAAGCAATGGCAAACACTCCCTTAGAGAAGAGATAACCTTAAGTTTCAAATTTGAGAAACTCTTGGGTTCCTATAAGAGCCAGTTTTCGGTTCCAAAAGGTCTGAGACCTTTCGGGGGGAATGTCTGTTAAAATCATACAAACTTAAATCCCTTATTTGTCCCATGAATTGAATCGCAAACCATCGAAATGAATCTTACTTGATGGTAGTTTTAATGATTGGATGCGCTACCAGGCCCTTCATCCTAGTTATGATTGTGTCGAGCAATTCTGAAATTGATTGGTGGTATTCGATCCGGATTTTTAATCAGGGAAAAAGCTCTTCAGTGGTGATGGCAGATAGAAACGATAAAATTGTGTGGGACCACTTAGCAATTTTTAATATGTTTAATGAAATGGCTGAGGTGGATTATATTTCCAATAGTATTGTGCCACATGTCGGATGCACCAAAACGTTGCACAATAGTGAGGCACCGAAAAGGATAATTTATACCGTACACCCGGGTAGGGTTGTAAACGAATCAAATAATTTGTACTCGATTCGCGATTCGAATTCGTATAAGACGATTCGAATCTGGAAAATTCAAATACAAATACAAATAAGAATATAAAATTTAAATTTGATTCGAGTTGTTATCAAATACAAATAAGAATATCAGTGTATTCAATTTGAATATTTATAAAATATATTCGATTAGTAATGATGGTAATGTTAATATCAACATTAATAATAATAGTAATAACACTATAATAACTTTTAAAAGATAGCAATACTCTCGAAGTGTGATCCATATATACATTTTTGCATATAGATTTCAAGCCCATTCTTAATAAACCAGAATATAAATACGAATTCAAATCAATTTTTTGGTTCAAATGGCTTTCAAATACAATACACATAATTATGTATTCGATTTGAAGAATAAAATTAGAGTTGTTTGACTTTGATATATACAATTATCAACTTATTTCACACATTATAAGTATAATTTCTAATACGTGTGTTAGTGTTTATTTCAAAAAGTTTGAAATAGATTTATATTTATTAACCATAAAATTAATTCACTTTAGTATATTGTGCACCATTGAATCTAAAAATGCATTGATCTATTAAATTTAAATTTTAAAAACACATTAAGTCATAGCATGCATTTATTATTAAGATCCGGAGTTTCGTCCTAAAAGGTCAACCTGTTAGGAGGAGTAGACCATGTGTTAATATAACACTTTGTTCATCCAAACTTTTCCGGTGTGGGACATTTAACACCCCTCCTCACAATCAGACACTTCGTCTAGATCGTGTCATCATTCATTTTTTTTCATAGGTCCGTTTTTTTCATACGGCCGTAATTGTCATTTTTTTTATAATTGTGTCATCACGATTCATAAGGGGCCCCACACATTGGATCAATTTGGCTCTGATACCATGTTAAGATCTGGGGTTCCATCCTAAAAGGTCAACCTGTTAGGAGGAGTAGACCATGTGTTAATATAACACTTTGTTCATCCAAACTTTTCCGGTGTGGGACATTTAACACAACATAAACTATACGGAGTATAAGAAAGTTATTTTAAAGTGATATTTGACTAATATTTAACCTAGGTTCAAATCGATTCGATATTCGTATATGATTCGTTAACTATTCGTATTGTTAAACAAATACAAATACAAATCGAAATTAATATTCGTTTCATATTTGAATTCGAATTCGTATTCGAAAAAATTAAACATATACAAATACAAAATCTCATTATTCGACTCGATTCGGTTCGTATACAACCCTACACCCGGGTGTACGGTTCTCACTGTACATCTGGG